GTGTGTGTGTGTGTGTGTGTGTGTGTGTGTGTGTGTGTGTGTGTGTGTGTGTGTGTGTGTGTGTGTGTGTGTGTGTGTGTGTGTGTGTGTGTGTGTGTGTGTGTGTGTGTGTGTGTTTACCATAACTCATGAACCGATACAAAGAAAAACACAAAATAGGACATTTATAGAGGTGCTGCAATAGGTTGTACAAAATAATCGGAAAAAGCCTATAATAACTAGATAGGAAAGTCATGTGTTGGACACATCAGATTTTTTTATGACTTTAAATTCATTAAAATTCATTAGGGACAACCTACAAAATTCACAATTATTTATATAAAATTGTACTACGGTCAAGAAATTGTTCTTGTTTATGGGTCGATCTTTTTACCAGCGAGTAAAGTTGCATGTAGGTTTACTTGACAGATAAACAAAAAATAGCCCTATAGTTTAATCAACAAGTAGTTACTTTTAACTTAACTCGGAGGTGAAAAGACTGGCCCTTAATAAAATATATATTAAAATTGTTATTCTTTTTTGAAACTTCGTTTATGTTGGAAACAAATAAAAATTAGCTCAATGTATAACTATTCTGTAGACCTTGGAATACAAAACAAAATAAACAAACATAACCTAAAAAATAATAGTTGTTTTTTTACCTGAGACGTTCTTAGGTAACAATCGTTGAATTAACACACATACTTCCAATTTATTAAAGTCACAGTTTTATTTAAACTTAAAATTTAATAAATAAAATATACACTTAAAATAGTCTCATGTTGATTTTTAGAATTCGACACCTTGATTGGAAAGTTGGAAATGTTTAAAATAGAGAATGAAGTAGGTAGAGACGTTGAGGCACGTTGAGTCATATTTTGATTAATTTTAAGTTAATAATTTTATATTTGAAGATTGACGGAATGAAAAATTTTTATATCATTTAAATCATGCTATTTTAAAAAAATGACGTTTATTATCACCAAAACTGACTAGCTAGAGTTTGTCATGTCGTAATAGGGCATTGCAAAAGTGCAGACACTTTTAGTACTGTCATCTCTTTATTCTATATCTATGATTTGAAAGATTCGTATGTCCAGCCATGCTTTGTGAGTCACTGTGTTCGTTGCGCAAAATAAGGTGATTTTTAGTGATTTTAACCAGGTCATTGTTCGTTTCGCGGATCTGTTAACGTGTTGACATCTCTTTTTAGCTGAAGGCTTTCGGGAAGGCACTTGCTACTTGGATTCACTCACAAAAGTGAGCCAAAGGGACGCGATTAGCCAAAGCGCAGCAACGTACCAAAGAATAGAGATATGAAAACAATAAAATTATTAAAATTGAATTTATATTTTTATGATATTTATTTTAAAATAATGTGTTTTTATGAATTGTAACTGGGTGTTCACTACACAAATGAACCAAAGGAGAAACCGCCCCTGGTTGTCAAATTATTATAAGAGAGTGTGGTACAATATTGTTACGAGGACTGTTTTTGGTTATATTTCGTTAATGACCAGGGCCGACTAGAGGGGGAGTAGCCGGGACTAATTCCCGGGGCCCGCACTCAAATGGGGACCCGACAGCGGTATAAGGGGGGCCCGGCCACCGGATATTTATTGGTTTGTATGAGCAGTTCGTCAGAAGACTAGAGAGGAAAAGTGTTTTTATTGTTTTTTTTTGTTTTTTTTTATTTTTTTTTGTTTTTTTTTTGTGTTTTTTTGTTGTTTTTTTTTGTTTTCTTTTTTGTTTTTTTTTGTTTTTTTTTGTTTAGAAAATTAATGAAGTAGAGGAGGTAAAGTTTTTGCTTGAAGACTTTTTTTTTTCAGAAAATCAATGAAGTAGAGGAGGAAAAGTTTTTGTTTGGAGACCTTTTTTTGTCACGGGGCCCGATCTAGCGAATTGTCCTGGGGCCCGGCCTGGCTCTCGGCGGCCCTGTTAATGACTAAATATAAGGCACCAAAGTGCACAAAAAAATTTATTGTTTTTACGTTACAATTATTACAGTGTTTTTCATGAAAGTGTACAATTTTGAAGTGTCACAGCAGTGTAAAGCAAGCGTAGTAGACGTAAATACTAATTATGTATTCATTAAATGTTTGCTCGCTGCTCAGATAAACATACTTGCACAAACCATCCCTACTTAAATAAACAGCCTTTCCCGTATTTCTAATGGGACAGCCGATACAAAAGTTAAACACAATCTGAATAACTGCAATAAAAAAGGGCTTAATTATGAATAAATAAATGGATTAATCTAGTAGTTTTTTTTGTATTGGTTAACCTTTTTGGTTTATACATTCTATTATTAATTTTAAATAACTCCTACGACCTTTTACATTATTGAGGGGTTCTTTTTTAAAACTAGTGTTCTATATGTAATATTCCAAGTTTAATGTCTGAAAAATAAATAAATAAAGTATTCACAAAAATATAAATTTTATTAATGTTTACTATTTGATTAATGTTTACTATTTGAACCATACTTGTTGCTTATCCTAAACTATATATTCTTTTTTCAACTTATAGGCTTTACAACAAGAAATTCCCGGGGAAATGGATGAAGAATTGGAAAAATACAAATGCAGATTACTAGAAGAAATGCCGTTGACCGATTCACAACAAATAGCGATAGAAGAATTCAAAGATAAAGAAGAGGAAGGCGAGGAAAAGCAGGAAGAAGAAGTTATAGAAGAAAAAAGTGAAGAAGAAGCTGTTCTTGAAGAGGTAAGAATTATTTTTATTGAAAAAGAGGCAAGAAATGACAACTAGTTTTTGATATTCGGTGAACATTATTTAAACGTCCAATTTAAATTATGAGGATGGAATAAATAATTTTCAGCTTAGGAGACAAAAAAAAAAACAAAATGCTGGATCAAAAACTCTAATATGGTTTGATATACTCTCGATAAGCTTTTCCCAACGAAGTTCAAGATCGTTTATTGCCGCTCATATAGACCAATTCGTCCAGATCTTCAAAATATGCAATAACTTCCAAATCGGACGCATATTTTTTGCCAGCGTAATTTTTTTTAAATTTGGAAATAAACTGCAGTCCAAAGGTGCGAAGTCTGACGAGTAGGGTGTATGTGGCAGTAATTCAAAGCTCAGTTTATTAATTTTAGCTATCGAAATAATGAACTTGTGACACGACGCGTTATCCTTATAGAATAAAACTTTTATTTCGGTACCAGCTATTTTCTCCAGAATTTTATGATGCAGCTGATCAAGCAAGTGGGTATTGTCCATTTATTGTTTAACCATTTTTAAGGAAACAAACAAAAATATTGCCTTCTGCATCCCAAAATAACGACGTCATAACATTTCTGGCCGATTGTACCGTTTCCGGCTTTTTCTGTGCTTCTTTTGTGCTGTTTGGTACTCCGGTATATAATGGAAAAAAAGTATTTCCATAGTTTTATCCTATACAAAAAATCTTTGTACTCTTAAATAGCAATACACTATCTTCTGAAACGTTCATACGAATGAGTTTTTTCTGTGATGCATTCCTTTCTTGAAATCTCCAAAACTCCTCGACTATCTGCTCCAACTTCAAACTTAAAACAATTTTATAGACTTTTAGGACCATAACTTCTGTCATAGTATAATCGATTTAGGCCTACTGGGTGCTCTAAATCCTTATTGCTTTTATGACTACGTTTAAAATCTGCAACGCATGTTTTGATCATTAGAGCAGACTAGCAATAAAGCTTTAATTTCTGTTGGACTTAAAACCTCAATGTAAGAATATTTTATGCTAGTATTTCGAGTTTCTCTTTTTTGTTTTAACTTGACTAATATACACCGGGATGTCGAATGCAAATCACTGGACAGAAACTTACAATATTTCACAAAAAAACTAATGACATATGACATTAAATAAAACAAACAAATAATCAAAATCAAAGCATACTATAGGCCAGGCTGGAAATTATTAATCCCATCCTTGTAGATTGATAAAGTTTCTTTAAGATTTTTTTCTTCTTAAATTGACAGACTTTAAGCTGACTAAAGTTTCTATCAATGTAGAAAAAATTATATCATTCTATTTAAAAACAACTGTTGGGCCACCCTGTAAAATTTTTTTCTATACTTACTTTTGACCGATACTGACAGATATATTTCAAATAAATCATTAAGTTTTGTTATATAAGTAAATAATATATGCACAAGAAGAATTGACTCAACTTTCGCTTAGCCGAAATCATTTATGCAAAAACTGTTGTCATAATAACAAAAACCCTAATCTCATGGTGAGGAAATGCGCAGTTGCCAAGTTGTAGATGATTACGGTTTCTGTTTAATTTCATTTAGCTGAAATCAGTTATGCCATGGGCACGCTTGTCATGTTACCGACTAAACAAAAACCCAAATTTCGTGTTGGGGAAATGCGTAGTTGCCAAGTTATAGATTATTTATGTTTACTTTAATTTAGCCGAGATGAGTTACGGAAAAACTGTTTCCATAGAAATGCTTGTTTCGTCTAACCTAAAGTGAATATTAAATAATCTATAACTTATCAACTATGCATTTCCTCACCTTAAAATGTATGTTTTTGATAACTGAATACCATGGCAACGGTTGCCGTAGAGCAACAATTTTAACGTAGCTGATTTCGGCTAAACGAAATTTGACCCGAAGAATTTTGATATGTACCAAAAATTTCAGTACCTGATGTAAATGCTCTACTAATTATATACTGGGAAACGTATGAAAACTAATTAATTTGTGTCGTATGGTTCATAAGAATTAAATACTAGCTAAAGTTACACTGAAAGTTTTGGTCAAATAGCCCATTTAGATTTGCTTCTTGGTATTCTTTGGTTATAAAACTACGATACAGATTTTGCAAACTCTGTATGTCTATTTTTTTTAGCCGGTAGCTGAAAGTATTGAAATATGGATCGATGCAGTTCCTGGTATAGGACCTATTGTACAAGATCATTTAATAAAAGCTGTTCAGGAATATATGATCAGCGTTGCTGCACATCAACACAATATGGTTATGCCGAGGAATATTAGACATTACAATTGCCCACCTCTAGAAGTTGTTGAAACAAATTAATAAATGTTTTTATCGACTCATCGGTTGTATTATTTTACTCTGGATTTTTATTTAATTAAGAGAAAATAACAAGTTTTTTTTTAACAATGTTACACATCCTATGGGAATTTAAAAATTTCGCTAATGATACCTACATAACATCAATGTCTATGAATACTAAGATCATTCTGTTTATTTATTTATGGTATGTCTTTTTTAGGATGTTATTAGTATATTCTAAAACGTATACACTAAGCACGGGCCCTAAACCTATATTCTATAAGGACTAAGGACGTGATTTAATAGGACATTCTTAAAAAATACTAAAAGTCATATACCCAGGATATACATAGGCGCCGAAATCCCGGGGCTTTGGGTGCGCAAGCACCCAGAGCAGTTTTAAACTGAGTGCGGAGCACTCATAGCACGTGCACAAAATGTGCCAATAAGTGAAATGAAGAAGCTGTCGTGGCCCAAGTTGGTATAGCGACAGGATGCCTCGATAAAATATTATCCTTCCTCCATGATATTATCGTTCGGACTATCTATGTAGCCCATACAGTGGTTTATCAAAGTACAAAAACGGTTTAACATAATTTTTCCATTGTTATTAATAAAAAACGAATTTTTTGTATCAATTCTAGTTTTGTTCCTGTGACTTTAAATTATTGTTATCAGATGACATTCTTTGGTCGCCGTAAAGTAGTGAGGTTTAGTTTATTTCATCGTAGAGTCGGCATAAAAGTGGTATATCGGTGATAATGGTTTACTCAATTGCTGAAAGGGTGCAAATAATTTCACTTTTTTTGTAAACAATGAATGTGCTACTAGAACTGCCCAAGAGTGTAACAATTAACATCAAAAAGTCCATCGAAAGTATATTTTGGAGTTAGTTTAAAAATTTTGGGAAACGGGGTCAGTAGCTACAAATAACGTGAAATGGAAAATGCTGTAGTAAATGAAGCTACAGAGGTGGCGATTAAAGGGCATGTCCAAGAACCCACATTGAGTACAAGGCAGTTGGCGATAACATCTGGTATTAAGAGAAATAGCATTCAGAAGATATTGAAAAAACAAGTTTCATCCCTACAAAATACATTGGTAAAATAATTTAACGAAGACGATTTTGATAGGCTATTACAATTTTATGAAATTATGACTGAACGGGCAATAAATGATCAGCAATTTCTTATCAACGTCTCTTTTTCAGACGAATTCACTTTTTACTAAAGGGTCAGCATTTCCAGCATTTATTCGAGTAACTGATAAGCTTTTACAGAAAATAAAAATCGTTAAAAGATCATGGCTAGGAAGACAATGGCGTCTTAAAACTCGGGGGTTATAATCTATGTAAAAATACCTTCAACATAAGCTATTATTTGACCCCTCTTTCCATTTAAGATTTTGGGGGTAAGTTTCACCCCCGCTAGAGGGTTTTTAGGGGATGAACCAGCCCGAAAATGTTTCCTCCTAAAATCAAAAATTGACGAGTCCAAGCGTTTTTTTACGTCTGTTTGACTTTTAGAGCTTTTCTTAGTATTTAATATGAGTTTTCTACGTCAGCTTACGTTCCAAATGGAGATCCAGGTACTTAACATCTGACTTGATGGGGATGGGAACGTTATTAATGTAAACTTGTGGACGATCGACCCTTCTTGTTGTGAATATAATTTGTATGGACTTTTCACCATTTACCCTAATCTTTCATCATTTTAACCATGTCTGTAGTGAGTTTCAGAAGTTTTGCAGAAGCACTATCTCGATTTTTGTCGGATGTAAGGATTCCTGTGTTGTTGGCGAATGTAGTCACAGTGATCTCATCTTTAACAGGTAGGCCAGAAGTAAATAGGAGATAAAGGAAGAGACCGAAGACACTTCTTTGAGGAACTCCGAATTGTATAGGCTGATAATTTGAAAGAATCGCTCATTCGGGTATGATTTTAATATTAGGTATGTTTCACTAGACACTTGCGTTTTTATTTTGTACAACAGGCCTTTATACCACACCTGGTCAAAAGCTTTTTCTAGGTCGAGAAATACTGACGCACAAATTTTCTATTCTTCGAAGGTTCCTTTGATATAATTAACCATCCTATAACAATGCTGCATTGTAGTGATTCTGCCAAAAGCCAAATTGATGATCAAGTATGATGCAATTTAAATCTACTGTTTTAAAAATTCGGTTTAGTAAGAAGTCTTTTGAAGAGTTTTGACATCTTTGGTAGAAGGCTTATCGGGCGGTAGGAAGTGGGTTCTGTGGGTGGTTTCCCCGGTTTCGGAATCATAATGATGTGGGCCTATTTCCATTGAATTGTATAACGGCACAGTCTTAGCATGCTGTTATATATAATCATTAGCAAGACTATGGCTTTTCTGCGTAAATGCTTCAATACTTCGCCAGTAATTAGATCGTAACCTGGTATCTTAAGTGGTTTTGTTTTGTTTATGACTGTCCAAATTTCTGTCGGTGTACATGGTTTCAGTGGTAATGATAATTGGAAGGAAGTACCAAGGAATTTGCATACTTCTTCATCGGCATTGTGCTCCAGATATGAGCTAAATACCTGGGCGAGGTGTTTAACTAATGTATTTGATTTTTTTCATCTGTTTTTGTCCAATTTCGATCAGACTTTCTAATTGGCAGAATAGATGAGATCGGCCTCTTGAATTTTTTGGTAGCCTGTGCCATAATGAATGATCATTAGGAGTAAGATTGGATATGTAATATTTAAAAGTCTTGTTATGGGCCTGGAATAAAGCTTGGCGCAGTTGATGTGTTAATCGGTTTAATTAAGTTTAACCTAGAGAGTTTCTTGATCTTTGCCATTTGACTCTAACTCTTCTTTTTTCAATTAGAATTTCTTCAATATATAAAGGAATGTTATGATCCTGGGTTGAACTTTTCTTGTCATCTGTAGTTGATTTCCATGGGGTTCTTTAACTCGATGGCTTAAGTTAATATTTGTATTTATTATAGCTTGAAATTGTTCCCAGTTGTTTTTATTGCAGAGTTCTATCGCAGGTTACCTCAATATTATACTTGTACTTAGTGTTATGATGATAGGCGCTGTAATCGAAATTTAAATCAAGACTGGGCACTATTTTGTAATTTAAATTTGAACTTAAATAATGGCGACATGTAGCAGGTCAGGAATCTTGTTTATGTTAGTTGGCTTAATACCTTGGCTGACATGTGGAAAGGAATTTAAATTATTTCTCTGCGAGTATGCACTACATTATGCTCTCTTTTGGTGTTATAAGTCTCCATCCCCTTGCGATCTGTTTGGCATTCCAATCACCGGCTGCTATAAATCGTGGCCCTAGCTCCTGAAATAAATTATGGTAGTCTTCTACTGTTATGAAGTGTCTAGGAGAAGAGTAAATTGCTGGCTGCAATGGTTAGATGCTTCATAACAAACGATGTTAGACTAATTGGTCTGTATGTGGGTATATGGAACAGTGTAATCCATCCTTCCAGGTTTAGGTATGAATACTACTTTTACCTCCATCTATTTTCTGGAGATATACTAAAATGTGTTTGGTAGTTTGCCAATCATAGATAGTGTAATAATTTGGCAATTATTTTATTTAATCTAAAGATTTTACATAAAAAGCTCATATAAATCTTCAAGTACTTTCCTTCATTTGACCTAGAAGTATTAATAACAGTTATTATAATATCAAAGTAAATTAAAGATATGAGTTGATGAAAAATTTCAAAGAAAGCACGTCTCAACTAATATTTAAATGATTTGTGAACGAGGGGAAGAGACAGTGACCGAGTCGGCCGGGCTTTACGCTGTCCGACTACTCACCGACGCCGATAAAGCTCATTTCGGGAATTTTAAAGTAATTTTTAAAGTTGTGATTAAATAATAAATAATAATAATAATAATAACTTAGTGAAATCGAAACTACGTTTCGAGCAAAGTAAGCCTTCCTCTTTCACTATATTAAAATTGTGACAGTTCCCCTTTCATTTTGCCAAATTATTAAGTTACCTCTCTTCGTAGATTTTATAGGAAGTGATATAGTTTATTTTTTTGACTTTGGTAGCTACAAGATCCAACGAGATTTTTGACACGTTTTGTTATTTATTCTTATAGTAGTTATTAGTACTTTATTATGATTTACCGAATCAGGCAAGAACCTCAGGGTGGATCTTGTACCTTTAAACATATGATATTATTTGATAGTTTTTTTTCATATTTAAAATTGTTACATGTTTAAATATATTGAGTTGTTAAACATCCACCTGTTTTTATTTTATGTGTGTTACGAGTTGTTGAGTTCAGCCATGAGTTCCATAAAGAGGAACAACCCTTAGTCCAGATAAGCTATCTAATCAAATCCAGAGTTCGATAATTAAATAATTATTTTAGGTGTTCCTTTTAATTCTTAACCAATACATACATAAATGTGGAATATATATTCCATCTTTATCAGGTCTACCTTCCCTTTGTGTCAAAAGACACTACGGGCATTTTTGTGAAGCTACGACGAACCTACCCCCGAGTAAGGACTATACGTGTCTATTATCAGTTTGCCAAAACATTTCCATAACCCGCTCGCATCACGGGGGAAAAATCTTTTATTTTTAAACCTCTTATTTTAATTTTTTCTTTTTCCTGTTTTTGTCACGGTGTGAGTGGATAAGCACTAAGGACCTTATCCCCTGACTGTGTTTGGTGACAGTCGCTGCCTTTACACTTACAGTGTACCCCCCTTCCGTTGATGACTAGAGTCCTTTTGGTCACTACATTGTTATTTAGTGACAGCAACTACTTTCTAAGTGACGGTGGTTGTTACATGGGAAAGAGGGTCCTTTATGAAGGATTCTTTCTGGTCCCCGCTTCAGCCTCTTTTTCGATCTTTGGCCTTATAGTCAATAAAGTGAACGCATAGCTAACCCTCATTGATTTGGCCTTAAGGGTTCTCATGTCTTCGTTTCCTATGCCGAAGATAGCCATTGGGATCTTTTTTAGTTTCATGGTGGAAGGTGCACCATTCAACCTTTTTCTCGTCAAGATCAGTTTGCGCTTCCCTTAGGATCCATAGAGAGTTTTCGTTGAGCTTGGGGAGCTCGTTCATCCTTGCAGCGAATATTGTCCTCTCCCGTGTGTTTATGGTTGGTGCCTTGGTTTTTA